CCCAAAAAGGAAGATAAGACGAGACGCAAAAACTACCGCGACATAGGTCTCATCGACGTGGCTGCAAAAATCTTCACCAGTGGCCTTCTTAGGCGAGTTCAGGCTGTGCGTGACTCTAGGTCGAGGCCTAACCAAGCCGGATTCCGTGTTGGACGTGGATGTGTTGACCACGTATTTACACTGAGGCTCATTCTCAGATTCCGCCACAGCTACCAGCAACCGACGACCGTTTGCTTTGTTGACTTCGCCGCCACGTTCGATTCCGTCCACTATGAGTCCCAGTGGCGGATAATGCCACTATATGGTGTACTTAGGGGTAAGGTGATACCATACTAACAGCACAGGTGCTAACCAAAATTCCATTCACGTATAAGTAATAAGCCGGCTACATCAGGCATGATCGCAGCCGTTCCAAGTGCAAGTACTCTCGGGTTAGATGCCTAGCTGCAAAGCATAACGCATCCTATTTCTTATAAAAATAGGTTGTAAGTCCTTCTACACGAAAGTCGTCAACCGGCCGATAAAGTGGCAAGCTTCAACATTAACATCAGTGGGAATTATCCTGCATGTTTTTGTTTTCTAGGAATGACACACTACTTCTTGCGTTGCAAGTGAATGGTGTCCAGTCGAAGTTGTTTCAGTTGCGTCGGAAAATGGAAACTAGATTCGCTGAACTTATAATCAGCAACTCTGAAAGAGACCGGCTTGTAAAGAAAGTATCGGTAAGTCAGCGTTCCTGCCAAACTTTTGTTGGTTTGGAAAACCTGGGATGAATATCAAGTTAAGGGGATAAATGCCAATGGACTACAGTTTAATGCTTTTGTCTCGCTGCCTTAGTTCGAGTACCACGACATTCAGATATCAGAATCAATATGTCAAGGCTTCTTCCACAAGAATGAGCCTTGTTCGTCTTTTGTATTTATTGAAAGTATCAAAACCTGTTCTCCTACAATCTCTCGAAAATCGGTGGGTTCTATTTTGCGTCTGCTATGTCTTGGTCTAGTCCGTTTCAGTTAGTGTCTAACGCAAATGTGTGACGGGAATAAATCGCCCGGTACATCACTCTGGCCCATATTTTTCAGTTGACTAAATCCCGCCAATATAACACCATGGGACATGCTGGATAGATGAGGACGATGCTGCGAAGTCTTCCTCGCTTTAGTCCAAATCATAGGGAAGTCAGCGGCGCCCACAAGCACTGGTAGTCCTTTCTGAGATGGACAGATGGGATGCAGCATTTAGCATGGACGCAGTAGAGACACTTGACAGTGTCGATTCGGTTATTATAAAACAGCAATACTCCCGCCCACTACGAGGAATGCCACCTGCTTTCATATCCTTAAAGGCTTAATCAAAGTCGAGAACACATTGCGTTTTCCGACTTCGCAAGACAGTGAAAAAGACCACCAACTTTCCAGCTATCTGCGGGAAAGAAATATAGGAGCACTTAAGCTAGTAAAACTTTTGTGTGTCAGTTAACGCACAGCCAGTACAGCCCATGACAAAACGAAGCGCTTCTCCTGTTCATTACATGAAATGCGTGTTTATGACCCGCTTGCCTCCATACACCGGTAACGGGCCGACCCAGATCAGGAAAGCTTCAGTTTTTAACCCCAACTTAGGATCTTCGAGCCTAACCTAGATTTAAGCTCTGAGTGATCGGATTGTAAGGGTCCCACCCATATTGTTCGATACCACAGGTGCTTACTCAGCCTTATTGGAAAGCATCAACGCATACGTGGACCGGTAATTCATTTTGGGTGCATTTTAGTTAATGTGACCCACAAAAATGCACGTTTTGTTCCTGTGTCCTCACTGTCGAAATTTGCTAATTCTAGAAATCGGCCGTTCCCTTTTCCACCCCTGATGAAAACCGCATGACCGATACTACATAAAGAGTAATTAGCATTTAACACGCAGGCTGTCCTGAGCAGTGAGTACTTACATTCTATAATTATTCTCCAAAGCGGATCAAAGGTCTAAGTCAGGTGACTGCTCCTTAGACCACAGTCTGCTTGAATAAAAGTGACCTAGTCATTAGGACGTACAGCATAGCCTGACTGCGCTGGGGAAATTTGTCCTTCAGTACAAGAATTAGGGTTGTGCAGACTTGAAATATGTTCCCTGCAACTCAGGATGACGTCACGCACAGCTGCAAGGTGGACGCAATAACTCAGGGACATAGCACCAGACTCGGGATCGGAGGTCACCGGTCCGATCTCGCCTCTCAGCGAGCATTTCCTGTCTGTGCAATTCCCCTATTGCCCATATTATTCGTTAAAACAGTATATTCTGATGTAAACTGCTTTCGTCTTAATTTGACAGCAATTAGAGAAGAACCTTGACATATGCACCATAAGGTCTTTGAGCGGCATGCCACCGAACAGGCAGATTGCCCGAGAGTACGAACTTGAAGCAAGGCGCAAGAAGGTTCGCGAGGATTACAAACGCGAAAAGATGCGGAGTCCACGCAAGGTACGCCGTGCTGAAATATGTCAGGTCCAAGTTACTAACTCATAATTTGCTTTGATAACTACGTACATGGAGTTCTGGGTACCAACGTTTACCTTTTGATGATCTTGTGGAGGCCCTTTGCTGTTCGGCGATTTGCGGTCAACCTGTCTGCGACTTACGTAAATGTTATTTCCATCACTGGGTGCAGGTCAAATGTTCGTTTAAGTTTCTCGTATTGTCGGTAATACTCTCGAATAAGCCAAGCTTGTTATCTATGCTAAGCCACTGAAGTGTTTCATTTGAAATAGTCGTGTATCACCCATAAAAGTGAGTTCTAAACTCTACTGATGTAGTAAGATGCTTGCGCGGAGAACTCAGCTCTCTCTCTCCCTCTCTGCTCTGTACGAGTCCAAGCTTAGGATAAAAGGGACCTCCGCTTGTGCCTGCGGCCTCCTTTCATGGACCCTCAGGGTGAAATTTTGTTTGCTCTTTCGCCAACTCCGTTTGCTTCTGCGCATTCAAATGCATGGGCCTTTTCTAACCTGCAGAACACAGGAATAGTGGTTCAGCTCTTCCGAATCTGTCTCTCTGAAATACAGACCCGTGTTTATCGTCCTAACCCTGTCCTCTCATGCACTGTGTGCTCTGTCTGTCTTCTTGAGGATTCTTTTCGTTCCTTCCAATGAGGCATTTAGAGGCCAAAGCTGTCCTTGTGTCTCTACCACATCTCAAATTCTGTCGTCTTTAGACAAGCCTTTGAAGGAGCACCCATTAGCAGCAAGTGTCTCTTTGCGCTGTGCCCTTAAAATTCTGTAGTCCCGGCTTCTTAAGATCCCCTCAATGCAAAGCGGTCCAAGGACATACGTTTATCCTCGAACCTCGCGGGCTGGGCATTCTTTCAGAGAGAGGAGATTGTTTAGGTGTGGTCTCCATACTGATTGGCAGATAGTTTCGTTATAAGCAACATATTCGCTTTTGGCTAAACCCCTTCCCGACCACCTGTGCTAACCGCAGGCAAAAGAATACTACTACATAACATAGTTCGCATTTTTGCTACTTATTTTGGATGCCTTTGCAAATTTAGTCATATTTTATAGGGAAAATCGCCCAAACTTCATTGTGTACGCTTTGTTGGGAAATTGCACCTATTTCGGTTTTTTACTTGAACGAACGTCGTACTCATTTCCAAAAGGTTTATAATTATGAGCACCTTTGGTGCTTTTAAGATTAGTCTTGTATTGCGATATCTTTATCCTTACAACGGGCCACGCGGTAGATGCGCTGGACAAGAAACAGGGGCTATATCGGATTCTGGCAGGCGCCGTCAGGAGTGCGAGTCCACAAGGACCAACATTTGGGATGTGGCGGCAGGCCCAGGTGCAGGCACACGTCGCGCCGCTCTCCTTTTTTTCTTTTTTCCCTTACGTAAAATCCTGATCACTGTACTTTGTGGACCAGAAGGTATGGTGGTACGCCTAGGTACGGGTTTACATCATGTCACCCGTCCGCGCTCCCTCCCACCTCCGGTTGCCTTGATTCTGCCTCGACACGGGGCCCAGGTCGAGAGAGTGCAGTAGGTGCCGCACGAATCTACTATCATCACAGCTAACTCACGCGTAAGTCACCGTCCCTGCTCGCACGTTGTTACGGAGCACACAGTGTACGCCGTCGACTACGAAGAACTGTCCTATCGAAGAGACTATAACATTCCTACGGTTCTGGTGAAAAGTACTCATCCACATCCTGAGCTACCGGCGCTGGCATCGGCTTTATAGACGGTGCTGCTAAGGACTTAGAACAGGGATACTGAGGCATTCAGTTATCAACGTGAGGTGCCCAAATTAATCAAGCTTAGTTCCATTGATCGTGGACGTTGAATGTGAAATATTCTGTTCCGGATGAAGTCGACGCACCGTACACGTAGAGTAATTTGAAGATGACCTTGGCCCGCCATATCCCACTTCAGATTTTCCACAGTCTTCGTCGCTTAAGCTTCGTTACCGTTAGGAAAATTCTCTCAGTAGCCTTGCAGACTCGATTTTCTATGAAAACCCCGACATCATGATGGGCGCATACGCACTTTGGGACGATGGCGAACACTGGATAAGTCGCACCGACTCGAATACCAAACGTTTAGCACAAATGAACGGGAATGCGGTAATCCAAAGTACTTGGGGCAGCGCACCTCATTGGCGCAAACCATTGAGGTACAGGGACGGTTTATCTTCGTCACTAGCATAATGCGAAAAGTACTTTCAGTTGTTTTGCGCGCAGATTTAACAACCTGATCAGCAATGCTGCACTGCAGACCACTGAGCTTTGAGGACCAGTCCAGCTGCTCTGTGGGACTTTCAGTCGGGGTGCATTTCAAACATAAACAGAATAGAACTACAGAACCTCCAAGTGGGAAGATGTTCTCAAAACACCTTCCCATCCCTCGAAAGCCAGTCTGAGTTGGCAATTTGATGAGTCCTCGAACAGTTTGGAGTCATCTCGGGGTGCGGATGAAAGATATTGGCAGCGACGTCAACTGAGCCGACTTCACGCTAGCTTTCAGAGCGTGTCATGCCACCCTTCTTGTGTACTGGAAAGAGAACCAAAATACTTTCTTTCGGTAATAAGCCTGCAGTATGCATCTGACAAATAATTTCACGCAACCGATGTACTAATGAATCATCATCAGTTTTGCATTACCCAACTGGAAGGCTGCCTTTTCATACTTCTACAATGGTACTTGCTATAGCATGGGCACCAGACTGGACCCGTCATAGGAAGTAAGTGACTGGCGATAGAAGCGAGAAGGACAACTGATAGACAAACAGATTCGGAATCAGTCACAACTGCCTGGCCTCAACCGCCGTGCAGTACATGTTTTCTTAGCACTTCTTGGAAATGAGGCACCAACAGCAGGGAATCCCTCACCGGCCGGCAACATCAGCAGAAACAGTCTTCGGGTGTCTCTGGCGTTTGTGACTTTTTTCACAGAGATGGAGACATCGGAGGCATTCGATAGGTGTCAATGTCGCTCAATCTGGCCTTGCCGGTAGCGTCCGTCAGCTGTATCTTTCTAAAGCTGGTCCAACCGCCGCAGTACTATCGAGAAAAGTCATTTGTTGGCCTAGTTGCATTGCGCAAGGCTAACGCTATCGTTAGACGATTAGAATCTTATCGCAATAACGTCCGAAGAGGCGGCGGTGAAGTACGGAGTTCAGTGGGCTTTTACCCTTTTTGCACTGATTACTGGAACCATCGAAAAGACGCGTGGTGCAACGATCTACAAGGTCTACTCCGGTCATCCTCATCGTCAAAAACACTAACTGAAGTAGAAGCCATCAGCAGGTCTCCGCAGCCGATGAAAAATATATTTGGAACTGTCTTCAATACCACAGGAGGGGCGTGCATGCCAATGTCGAAGACGTTGTGATGATATTTAAGTGTGTACATACGGGTCGTCGGTTGACCAAATGTTACAACAAGAACGCGTCATCTGTCCGCCAATTACAAGGCAACAATTAATCCATTTTACCAGATTAGCCCCTAGCGCCACCGTGGTTACTTTGAATTCTCTGGGGCCGGGATGACGACTGTCTGGTGGACGAGGGATAATTCTATGGCTTCTGGGCTCTGGGAGCTTGCTCTGACTAGTATCAGTTGTCTTCAGCATTTTGCAATCGACTTAGAAGCCCACAGTCCTGCGGCCAACCATTGGTCCTCCGGCAGTCGTTCTTTATTTCGTGCTTCGGTGGCGAACCCCAAAAACTTCCTCACTTGGTAGCGTCCACGCAGGTTCTCAATCAACCAGCGCAACGGCGGCGCCCCCTCGATCACGAGCTCAGAGAGATTGCAGCGCAGACAATCCTCCTCAGGATTCGACAGCGTGTGGACCAATTATCCGAGACGGTGACTCCGCACTATCTCATAAACAGTTGGCATTGGTCGGCAGCAGGGTCCCATATCCGAGACGATCCCCATCGGCCAAAGATGTACTTCTCTCTAGAGGTCTGGCTTACTAGATACCTCGTCTCGCAAGAGTTAGCACCTAACAGAAAGCACGCATCGAGACCGCCGAGGACAGGGGCTCTACAACCTACCTCCCATACTATTCTTCGTCCTCCGACGCATTTTGAGGCGAGACTGCGAGCACCTCCAGCTACTACCAGACGGGCGAGGTGACAGCCATGTGAACCGGCTGGTTCCCCACTGGCTTTGGCTTTTGGTAGCATAGGAGACGAAGTTGGCCGAACGGTCCACCACTTCGAGCCTGCCATCATTCCCGAACTCGTGGTCCTATGATGGGAGCCATACAGTGGAAGACTGACACTGGCGTTTATGGTGAAATGGTCACGCCCGAGATGTGCCTTGTCTAAGTTTAGTTCTCGAGTTATACAGCAAGGTCCCAGGTTCCAAAATAGCGTTACAATCGACTAAATCTAACGACGCAGCGAAATCGAGGAAGCCAAGTCTTCCAAAAAAAAGTATTTTATGTCGTAAGTTGGCCTAGTCGTTCATGTCTCCACCAGGAACAAGACGACTCAGGAAATATAAGACAATCTAAACGCCCATACACTTGCGCAGCGCCACTCGCCCAGTCCTGGGTACCCTCAGTGCTGTGCCTGGCATCATTACTGTTAATCTCCATTCGCAAGTCTCTTGCTTCGGGGGTTCCGATTGCGTCTGGGAGTTTGCGATGCGGAGCATTGCCCACGCACAAGGCGTTGACAGAACAGGCATGGTAGATGTCTCCACAAGAGCATTCAGGAATGGCAGTTGGACTAAACCCACAAAGCACCCTCACCCCCTGGAGAGCATCGTCAGGCTCCTCGTTTTGCCTCGTGAACTGCTCCCCGGAGTGCCAATCACCGAGGCATCATCGCCGATAGCTGATGCCCGATGCGGTCTCGCGGCCATGTTCTGCAGGTGTCGACTTTGATTCATCCTAACAAAGCTAGCCTTCGCGAAAACGAGTCGATCTCTGTCTACCAAGTTAACAACTGACGACTAAATACTTGATGGTACATCGACCGGGGTAGTGCCTCCGGTCAGCGCACATCACAATGTCCCCAGCGATTCCGATGGACAAAATACGCCACTAGTCCCTCTTCGTGGACACGACAAGCCTCTGACGGAACGTTGGCAATGCAAAGACAGGCGGGGCGAACGCGTTGCCGTCCAACAAGTCCAACGCCCGCGCCGCTCGATAGGTGGCGAACGGGCCTTCCATAAGCAAGACTCCCAACTGAAGCCCGACAGACGAGTGGTCTGTCCCGCCACCCGAATCCATGCCGTCAGCGGCTATTCATCTTCGAGGGGACGTAGAAGCAACAAGCATCGCTTCTAAGAACGCATCGAGCCCAGCCAAAGATATGGATGCCACAGGAGAGGAGCGTACACGGCAGAGCACCGACTCTCGATTAAACACTCGGAAGACAGAGCTCACCGATCTCACCAGCGTACCCCCAGCACACGCACCCTTACCTGAGCAGCGGAGCCCATGGCCCGGGCATACTGATGCAGAAAGTTGTGACTGTAGTTGACTTTGGCAACAGGATATCTCACAGGGGGCTAGCGTAAGCTTCTTCGCCCACTGGCCCATCTATTTGCCCAGTCCAAACGGTATTTGTACGGCCCGTCCCCATGGCCTGTTTTCCTTTTTTAGATCTTGCCAATGAGGAGGCCCATCAAGCTGCCCGCAATCAGACAGCTAGCCGACCAGAGTATAAAGTCCCCAAAGGCAGCGGACATCAGCTTCGGCCTAAATGAAGGCACGCAATGACGACGACGAAGGCACTGGAGCCAAAACGCACAATTACTCCTAAGAAAAATCGTACAGTACCTAAGTAGCGCCATAAATTTCATTCGGTTACGTGTCGAGCCACGGAGAACCTGTTGTTTGTTACAAGGGGGTTTCTGCCCCGCTTGGCTCGCCAGACGCAGATCATGCACGCGCCTGATGAGCAGCAACGGACCCCGGCAACCCCCAGTCTAATCGTACACAAAAGTAAAAGGTACAGCCATGGAGAATATGGACGCTAACACCTTCACACGGACAACCGGCACAATATAAGAAGTGGTAATGTTCCATAAGTTGGTAGTTTATTTCGGGGAAACAAACCTAAGGTTGAGGTTTGGGTGCAAGAACTTCAGGAAAGCCACCCAATTGGGGCGATCGGTGAAAGCCCCGGATCCGCACCTCTTACCTTTCTCAGGACGAGCATACGAGACGAAAGGCTTCGTAGTGGACTTGTCCTCGTGAGGAGCCTGAAGCTAAAATTGACAAAGAGGCGGTCAGGTGGGCAAATGAGGATGTCAGATAGGACCATTCAACACTAGTTTATGCCTGGGGCGGTTGGTAATCATCATTGGCACTTGCCTTGTTTACGTAGTAAGGGGACGGAAACAGAAAACTGGTGGGTGCGCGCATTACCAAAGATCGTCCGTCTATAGTAAAAAAAAGTGAGTATAGAATAGCAGAATACACATGACTATGTACATAAGGAATTAGCGTACCTAAGCAATAGACGACTCCTGTGACACCAACGGAGACGACCAGGTCAAAAGGGTGGTACGACGCAACAGCAGTCATCCGACGCGAGTGACCAAAAAAAGCGATATGCGGACGTGCTTCAGAGTGCTGAAGAGTGATTGGTCGAACATTTTCTCCAGAGCTGCGGCGGATTCTGG